AGCATCTGTCTCTTCTTATTCATGTTGTCCCTCCTGCCTGTGTCTGCACACTAACAGATTACAATGCAGTCTGCAATGGCCTTGTGGAGCAAGAGGTTATTGTCTGTGCCTGTGTGAGCACAGTTGCAGGGGCACTACTCCACCCTGTTTAGTCCCCAAACCGCAAAGGGGCCGTCCACCTCATCCTGGATCTCAAGGCCCTAAATGTCTTGATTTTATTCCCGAAATTCTGCATGGAATCCACCAGGTCTGTCGTAACCATCAAGGGTCGGGTCTCATACTTGTGATCTTGTTCCAGTGACCCCTGGCTTCCAAATCTTTGACGTAACACCTTTCTATTGTGGTATGTTTCATTTACAAAACAGGCTTTTAAACCATTCAGGGATATTCCCCTTTCCACTCTTGCTCGGGTTGCCATCACGAGTGTCTGAGCTGGTGGCCTTATCCTGTAAAGAACTCGATCTGGTGGTACACTAACAAGGTGGTGAGGACCAGAACTTCCTTCCCACCTAAGATATTTTCAGCATATAACCTCAGTCAAGATGCGTTCTTCCTTCCCTCTGTCCAGCTCCTGTTCATCAGAATGAGCTTTTGCTCCCTTGCCTGTATGTAGTTTGTGCTATGCAGGTTTACCTTGCAGGCACGGCTCCTATCAAGAGGACTGACTGTCATTCCTGATGGTCCTAGTAAGGAGCAACCTGCTTCTCGTCCATGTTTTTTTTGTAGCTCAGACAATCACTTTATGGTGCCTAATCCTCTCCTAGGCAGCAGTATACCCCAAAAATGAAGGATCCTGTATCTCTTATTGGACTGAAAGAAACCTGTTTCACAGCTAGTATTAAAAATCATGTCTTCTAAGATACTGTATAGCTTGGTGGACTGCAAAAACCCTAAAATATTGCTTGGTGGCTTAATCTCATGACGTGTCATTTTTAAATGACATTGTTTTAGCCTTTTGTTGATTTTATATATTTCTATTTTTGTTTTTATAATGAATGTTTGGCTATCTCCCATACTTTTGTGCAGACTCATGTTCCAGGACATACTGGCCAGGAGGGAAATGAAATGGCTGACCAGCTGGCAAGGAGTGGAGCAAGAAAATAAAATATCACATGTATTGTACCGCGTGGATTCCAAGAGTTGATATAACATTCCTTGTTTTATGTTCATGCAGCACAGCTGCAGTAAGTGTTGTTGAAGTTTTTAATGGTTGTAAAAACTTGGCTCTTGCCTTTTTTAGATGAGCAAACATTGCAGTTTAAAAGAAAAAAAACAAATTTGTATGTAATGGTTATACTCGGCTTGTATGTTTGTGTGAAGTTGATGCTTTTATTTGAATGTTCAATCTTCAAATGGTTGTTCTGCATTAAATTTTATATAGCAAGTTGTCTATGGGGTTTTTTGCTGTGGCATGAAGGACATCAAAGAAGTATAATAAAGGTTTATGTAACATTATAAAATGGCATGTTCAAGCACCTCTGTCTCTACTAAATATTAGGGATGTGCTGTTACTGAGTATTTGGGCGAGTACTCGTACTCTCCTAAATGCTTATCGCGTTACCGGAACTTCCAATATCAGGAAGCAAGGCGGCATGTAATGACGAGGGACCATGGAGCTGGCTTCCCATCCAATCAGGAGGCCGGGTGGCATGTAATGACTCGCCACCCAGCTTCCTGATTGGTTGGGAAGCTGGCCAATGAGAAAGCCGGGCTGTTAGTCATTACCCGCACCCCGGTTTCCTGATTTAACCAGAAAGCCGGCTCAATCTAGGAAGTTGGGTGGCGAGTCATTACCTCCCCAAGCCACCGTGCCCCCTCCTGACGAAGCATTAAGCTGGCTTTCTGGCCAATCAGGAAGACAGTCATTACAGCTTTCTTAATTGGACATTCGGTATCGGCGAGTTCCTGGAAAAAAAAAAAATTGGTACTCGATAAACAAAAACCAGTATAGTGCATCCCTACTCAATATACTTCTGTCTGGTATAAATGACCATGCCATTATGCCCAAATGTCAGTCTCTTCTGCTGCGCAAAGTGCTTTACCTTACATAAAGTGTTGCTTTTGCCCCCTCATTTCCTGACACCAACGCATTTCTATTGGCTTATCACTATGATGGGTTGCCTCATTGGCTAGTGGAGGGGTGCTTTGTCTGTGCATAAAATGGCATACAGGCAGGTACACAGAAGCTTGGAGTGGTGACTACTTTACAACACACGGACCATGGGGAACAAAAGTCGCCACCCTCCAGAAGAAAGGTGCAATTGTCGGTGATGGGCGACTGAGCAGCAATCCACACACAATATATAGCGCTTGATACATTGAGGGTGGATATGTCTGGTGGGTAGTGCAAAGGGACACCCCAGAAGCACAGCACATTGGCAGCTGAGGACCTCCAGAGTGTCCCCATGTTGAATCCACAAAATGCTGAACCGTAGCAGACTGGAGGAGTGCTTCCCGGGGTTGGATAAGCAATGAGCGGAGACTCTAACATTTTTGTTGTAGTTTGCTGGATTTGGTGTGGGGACACCCTGGAGTTGTTCCTGAGCGGTAGCTGCTGGAACGCACAGCAATCGCACACTATTTGATTGGGAGTGTGACGATGCATTGAAGTTAATGGCACCTCACAGCGATCGGACGCGTGGCAAAACATTGCCTTGTCCACTGCGAACGCAAAAAATAGAGCACGCAGCTTTTTTTTTTTCCCCATTCGATTGACTTCAATGTGCTGCCCCGCCCCAGAAGGAAGGGGGTAGTTTAGTGTGTGATTGCTGTGCGTTCCAACAGATTCTGCTCCGGAACACTGCAACACACCGAAGGGCTTCTTCACATCTTGTCCAGACCGGAATCGTTTGTTCCCGGACCAAAAAAGCATCTCAATGTATCGCTATGGCATTTCTGGGCTCTGTTCACACCAGCACAGTCTGTTCAGGACCTGACAAAAATACTGCTTGTCTCATTTTCTCTGGTCTGGAACTCCTGGAAACACATCACAAAGGCATACAAATGAATGAAAACGCACTGGAACGTACCTGAAAGCCCATTTTAAGCTCTAGAAAAAAAACAAAACAACGCTGTAAAATCGCAGCACAAATGCACTGCACTGCGTTTGCTGATTTGGTCCGGACGTTGTGTGAACATAGCCCGAGTCTGTGCCCCACACTAGGGAGATTCCCCCTCCCTGTTTGTCTTGGTGACCATTGTCAACAAGTATTGGAAAAGCCATCATTTTAGAGTTTTCATGATTGCAAGAGGTGAGCTCGAAACTTCCAATGGGGACACCTATTTTATTAAAGGAGAACTATGGGGTCAGGGCTTTTCCCCATAGTACTCCTTGGGGTAACGGGAGGACACAAACTAGCGTCCACCCATCACCCTAAGCTCAGTATACCGCCAGCTACAGCTCGCGGTATACTGAGACGCAGCAGCTTGAAGCGGATTCCGACAATTATGTCTGGATCCGCCCAGCTGCGTGAGTGACAGCTGGCTCTGTCTATCTAGAGGCAGAGCCAGCTGTACTCTCCCCCGTCCGTTCCGCCAGTCAGTGCTGGCGGATCGGAGGGGGGAATCCAGCCCCTCCCCTGTCACGGCAGAGAGCCGTGACAGGATCGAGAGGTGAGCGAACGCCGGTATGTGTTCGCTCACCTCCCGATCTACTGAGGCGACCTGTGACAGTTTCATTGTCACAGGTCGGCTAGAACTATGAGGTGAGTGAAAAGCACCCACCTCATAGTTCTCCTTTAACAACTGTTAAAGATGGGAAATCATCTCACTTCCTGTTGTGACACCCAGACAGGAAGTTAAGGAAAATCTCCCCTACGGCACAAACAACGAAAAAAAAATGAGTGAGATTTTAACCCTTCCCTACGCTGCCCAAAACTAATAAAGAATACTTTAAAGCAATAGCCAGGCGGGCGCAGGGGGGTTGGTGTTGCTGGATGGTGCACAATCAGTGCGAGAGGGGATGGTGCTGGTGGAGAGTAATGCCGCTAAGAGCCGGGTGGGGAGATGTATAAGGACTGCATTCTCCCTGTGGACTGTCAGAAACATTTATTGTCACTTTTCTGCAGCGAACATTCGTTCGTAAATATTGTTTAACTCGTCCGAAATTAAGTCTGAAAATTCGTAAGAATCTGAATAACAAAATTAACTGACTTTCGTTCCCAAATCCCCCAAAAATGAAAAATCCGAAATGAAAGAAAATTATGTTTTTTTGCCGGCCTGCATGTCTATGCACTGATGACCTAAGTACCATTCATTAGCTTACAATAATCGGGACTACATGTCCCACGCACACAGCTGCATCATCCATTCTCAGGTCTTTTGACAGGATCTGTGAATAAAGAAACTACAAGTCCCATTAGCCACTGCAGCAGTGGGACTTGTAGTTCTCAGTGGACTGTAGTCCATTCATTCTTCCTCCTGTCCCTGTTACTGAATGTACAAACTGAGGTATGGGCAGGCACTGGAGGACGAGTCTGCAGGAGCCAGAGCGTTGTACCCGCAGTATACTGATTGCAATATTTTACTGGCCCCTATGCAGACACACAAAAAAAAATCATAAATGGACATTTTTTTCTTTTATAAAGATGTGTACGTTTATTTTTTTTAAAAAGTGGACTTTACCTTTAAAAAAAGAACAAGCGGCACACATTGTAAGTCTTTATGTCTGCAGTATAAACGTTAGGTCTGCAGTCATATTCCACTCATTGTATAAATAAATGAATGCACTCATGTTGCCAAAAAATCTTTTTAAGAATGTGCATTTATTAATGTTGTTGTTTTTTTTGCATTGGAGCCTGCAAAGCATTGGAAACCGGATCAATGGACTGTGTGTGCAATGCTCCTGCAGACTATTCCCCCAGGCCCAGATCTGTACACACGTACGGACCTGCTGTTGTGGGGCTGCAGAAAGCAATCGATGGACTACAAGTTTAGTGATGTCACCGCACTTGTGTTCCATTAAAATTAGGGATGCACCGATACCAATACTAGTATCGTACTCGCCCAAATGCTCCAATGCCTAGCCCGATACTTAAGCTTCCGGTATCAGGAAGCCAGGCAGCGAGTCATTACACGCCCCCTGGCTTTCCGATTGGCCAGAAAGCCGACTTCATGCTCCCACGTCACCTGGTTGAGAAACTGGCCAATCAGGAAGCCAGGCAAAGCGTCATTACACAGCACCCATGCTTAAAGTGAACTTTAAGCCTGATGAAGGGGACCCTGCGCGGCCCCAAAAGCGCTTGTTTCCACTTTAAGTGACTTCAAAAATAAAATGAAGATTCACTAAAATCTTGACGTATTCTGTCATACTTGGAGTGCTGGTGACATCCATACAACATTTTATCTGATACGGCGCCATCCGTAGTTATTACGAGCACCCATTTTTCCACATGGGAAGTCCGGTAAGGTGTGCTACATGTCTTTGGACATTATTACACAGCACCCGGCGCCCTGATTTGCCAGAAAGTTGACTCCATGCTGTCTCATCATCTGGTGACGAGGGAGCATGGAGACGGCTTCCCGGCTAATCAGGAAGCCAGGTGGCGAGTCTTTACGCACCGCATGGCTTCCTAAATGGGACTTCCGGTATCAGAATTTGGTATCGGCGAGTACCGGAAAAAAAATCTGTACTCATACTCGATACCCGAAAAAAACGGTATCGGTGCATCCTTAATTAACATCTACGAATCCCTCTACCGCGCCGGCACATCAGACTCTGTCACAGATCCTGCAAATGGATGATGCGCTAAATATAAATATACAGAACGCTGCTGGGAGAAGAACCCCCCCATGGGTCAGGTGAGGTGGGGAGTGCAAAATGCCACCGTGTTCTATGACATGAAACATGGCAGAAAAGGATTGATTAGACATTGATATCACTTTAACTGCAGAGTGATTATAGATGTGATCACAGGCTGTGCATAACCACTCTGGACTAACGTGCTGTGAAAGTCTTCTCACCAGCACAGGGGAGATGTGACCACTAATTGGATTGTTATAAGTACATCTTCCTATAATCTGATGAGTCCTCAGCACCAGAACCTTTCCAGGGAACACTCTGACCCCACGTGGTTCCTTCATGCAGGGGCGGGGTCATGGCTGTGAGGCACCGCCCACGTACAAAAGGCGCCGCTTTCCGCGCAGTATATATATCAGTAGGGGGGCGTGACTCAGCATCTTCTTCTTCTGAGAGATCTCCGCGGTGTGCTCTGATTTTGTTTGTCAGCCGACATGCCGTACGCCGTGCGCAGAGGCCGCCATGCGGGAGTCTATGACACCTGGTAACAGGCTCATGTACATTTCTGGTGTATTGGAGGCCACTGTGCTCTGTTCTCCCATACAGGAATGGTGTGGGTAGACTGGTCGGCACTTGGGCCCACTTTATGAGGGTGTAGCGGGGCGGCGGCTCTGTGTTAGTATTATGCATTCTCTGGTTGTGGCGCCCCCTAGTGTTATGTCTTTAAACCCTGTAGTGCAGTTGTTGCCCATAGCAACCTCTACTTGGACATCTAGTCCCGATTATTGTAAGCTGGGAGGGCCGCATGTAGAATCCAGGATCTGTAGACTTCATAGGGAGAATCATGTGGACACCCGCACTGCTTTTGATTGTTTTTTTTGCTATGCTGAGATTTCGGTAAGGCCTTGTGTACCCCATGTGAGGGGAGCTGTGTTACTGTGCACAGAGCAAGTGCAGGCTCCTAGGAGCGGACCTGGGAGAGAACTTGCCTTGATTCCAATGGGCTCAGGTCACACCACCATTGTGGTGCGATACCTTTTTCTCTAGTGCAGTGGGCAGCGACACAATACAACCACATTGCACCATGCTGTGCCCATAGAACTTGAAGTACTCCCAGCAGAAACCCTTGATGTGGGGCTGCCCCTACACCGTGGGAGGTAACTGCCTGTTTTTGCCTAGGCCTTAAAAAAATTCTACTTCCTAATCCTCAGAGGTGGCTGGCGCTTAGACTGCCAAATAGAGAGTCCTGCCGCACTCCTGACCGGGAAGCCCCATACAATGTGTGTGTATGCTGAAGTGGCCGCAGATTGTGCCGCCAAATACTTGCAAAACAGAAAAATGAATGGTCACCAGCACTGCAGGTTTTCTTCAAAACAAAATCCTTTTATTCATTCTCACAGGTCATGCCACCATGCGTGGCAACGTTTCGGAACCTGTCCGGTCCCTGAAATCAGTAAGTGGGAGAGAGCCAGGCTCTCTCCCAACTTCTGGCTCTCTCCCACCTCTGCAATTTACTGATTTCAGGGACCGGACAGGTTCCGAAACGTTGCCACGCATGGTGACATGACCTGTGAGAATGAATTAAAAGGATTTTGTTTTGAAGAATACCTGGAGTGCTAGTGACCATTTTTCTGTTTAGGCTCCTAGACTGGTCACTGCTGCTGCTGAGCTCTCTGCTTGTCCTCTGTACCTGCCACAGCTCCAGTGTGTCACAGCAATCAATACCAAGCTATGTGATTCAAGGTGCACATTTCCAGAACACTTGCCAGCCAGTCCGTATACAGATTGAACACTGTCCAAGGGGGTCCCTTCACACCTAAGTATAGTGTACCACGCAATTAATGCATTCTATAGCGCAACGCATCTTGTGTGCATTATGCACTGGCTGCTGTGCACTGCAAGGCGTGGTGAAGAAAAGTAGTGTGTGTGCAAGGTGGCTGAGAGGTGTGTTGGGGTGCCACTCAAATGAATGGTAACACACCTAGCACACTAACACATGCTGGGTGTTTTGTGCAATAGTGTATGTTAATCGCACGGTATTGTGTGGCTGGGCCCTGAGACTCCCAGAAAAGGGAAGCGTACATATATTGGCCGTGTGGGTGACGGTCACAGCCAAAGTAAAGAACATTCGACATCCCTCCCGAGCTATCTTTGGGTGATGCTGTGGGACAGAATGTTGGATATTATGTTTTTTTTGCTGTCTATTTCTTTGTCTGTCATGGTCACCGGAACAGAAACGAAAGGCTATACATACTTAGAATTTTGGGCGGATTTTGTTCAACCGTCCAAATTCACTGAGTGCTCCTGTCTGCACCCCTCCGTCTGGCATCCAGCGATCAGCTGATTGAAGGAGGTCGGAAGATTCTCGGCCAAATGGAGCTAGCAGCCCATAAGCTATTAGCTATGTTCGGGTGGTATTAGTGGCTGGCGGCCGCTGTCAGAATACAAAGCAAACAGTGGGGAGAAATCTGTTCTATTCATTCTACTCAGGCTGAACAAAAAAAGTGTGTGTGTACCGAGCTTAATGGAAAATGTAAAACTGAGATTCCCACCCCTGTAGAACAATAGAGGGTAAATCTTCCAGTGGGGAGATTTTTGTCTCTTCCTGTTGTGTCCAGGAGAGAAAGTAAAAGGAATGTTCCCTAATGGAACACAGCTGGCAAAATAAAACATGGCTGGTGTCATTCCCTAATCTACACATGATACTTGAAAGTGAAATGGAAGACAATTTTTCTTGTGTGAATAGTCCCAGGTTTTTTTTTCCCTCACCCCCTCTGTGTCCCATTATGGAGATTACACTTCTGTCTGATAATCAACAGGATGTGAGAACAAATCCATCCAAAGTGAGGGACATCTGGTGGTCAGCAGGGTGACCAGAACTAGTGTCCCCATTGTTTATTCATTTTTCCATCTAGTCTTCTGGTTACAGGCTGAGATTTCAGTGATAACGATCACCAGGACGAGATGAGAGGGTGAATCTCCCTAACTGGGATACTGAAAGCAAAAAAAAAAATCTTTCTAATCCCTCTCCACCCCATCCAAAAAGAGAAAAAGGTTTCCCATAACGTCTTCCAGGACAGCATCACGAGATGGAATCTCCTCCCCCACACACAGGAAACACGTCACTTAATCTGTTTAAAAGACCCTCCTCTCCTCCACTCCCTCAGTCTTTTGTGTTTCCTCAGTCAAGCTGGGGAGCGCGTCACAGAACGCTGAGAGAGGGCTTCCATGTGGTGATGCTGCCCGGGAAGTCTTCCTTGTATGGCCTGCCTGTGTAAGGCAGAGGGGTAGGTTTGCCTACCTTGTGAAGCCCCAGGGATTCTCCTAGCGCTGCAGGAGATGAGGCTGGCTTCCTTTCCCCCTTCAGTTGCCAGTGCGGGCCGGTACCGGGAGGACGAAACCCCCTTGGCTGGTCAGGGGAAACGGTGGACCGCCGTTCAGAGGGGTCTGTCCGGTTCTCAGGGCCTCGGGACGTGTTCCACGGCCAGGCCGGGTGGCCGCGTACGTCACTTCCGGCGCGGGTGACGTCATTTCCGGGCGTCGGGCTTGTGCGTTCCAAGCCTCGTTTTCGGCGCAGGAGGAAGGGGAGGGCTCGGCTGGTGCTTAAT